GTCAGCTGATTGTTTTATCTTCGTCATCGTCCTACAACCTCTGTAACTGGCCAGCTCACCTGTGCTGCTTCCCCTGTGGGCGGGGCTGTCACTGCCTGACACGCCCCCTCATGGTACTCCCCCCTGCAGAGTCTGCAGAAGACAAAGCCGCAGCCAAGCCGGGGGTCACACTCCACCTTCCTGCTGCCATCAGGTGGGAGAAGCCCCGCCCCACAGCCAGGTGATGGACACATCATTCCTCCAGTGGTGAGCAGACACTCCTCAGCGCCGTACTGCAGGTAGCGCCCATACTGAGGAAACAGCGAAGGTGACTGAGGGTGCCGGTGGTTCAGCTGACTCACCTGGAGCATGCTCACTAGACGAATTTTGGTTTCTGTTCACTTCTTTTAATTCAATTCTTTATTTTTTATTTTTGCTGGATTTTCTTGCGTTATCGTTGCCATGGTAACCCCTTTCTGCTCACAGTAATTGGCTAGGATTGAGGCAGAGGCCTCTCATTGGCTCTTACTGGTTCCCATTTGCTTAAAAAATCTTCTTCAGGGATTTCATATTTGAGAGTCTGTCTGACATCTGTCTGCCACGTTCACTCGTTTATTTATTTGTTTTTATTTTTTGATCATTTGTTGTTGGCCGAGTGTTGACTTCACAATGTTTCACTCACAGTAAGTGTGAGAGCATTTGTATAATTATCTTTGTGATGCAGGACTGCGTGTACCTGCTCGTCTCCCAGGATCCTGAAATGATGAACTTCTTTGATCAGAGACTCGTCGCAGCCGACTGAAACATTAACACATGAAACATGTTTACACGCGTGTGCGCACTCACACATGTCTGATGATGTCACATGCTCCTGTCTGCAGTTAAAGAACAATGATCATTGAAATGAATTCACATTCTTGGGCAGTCCTGACATATTTCTACAGAGAGTGAAGGTTGCATTGACCACACCCCTTGTGCCCACCTGCACACGGCAGCGAGTAGCCAATCACAGGATGGTACACAAACTGCCGGTCATTCAGGCGCGTCTGGCAATAACGCTGGAAACAGTCGAGACAGATCACATGACGCTCTGAGCACTGGAAGACCAGGACCACGCCCCTGAGAGGCAGAAGGGGTGGGGTTACACCTGACTGATGGGTGATGTGTGTGTGTGTGTGTGTGTGTGTGTGCGCCGTACATGACATCGGTGCAGGCGATGCAGGGCACGCCTCTGGTGTTGGTCATGATGAGGTCGAGGGCCACGGAAAGGTCATCATCTGACGTCGGGTGAGACGCACACTTCATGTAAAACTCCTGAAGACAGACACACACACACACACACACACACACACCACCTGGCTTAATCAATGACATTATCTGTGATGGCTCATGTGACAATCAAAAGTTCCCGGAAAAACTGAAGTGAGGCGGGGCGCTGTTAGACACCATGATGTGAAGACGCTTTTCCCGGGGCTCCGCAAAGCAGTGACAAAAATATTATTTTAAGACACATCCTCACTTTCTACATCAGCCTTGTGGGCTCTGAGTAACCCTTTTTGCCACTGGGCGCCCGCTTTTTTACTTTTT